CAACAGCTTCATGTAGATGTTAAAAAGCATGGGGGATAGGCAGGAACCCTGAGAGCCCACAAGTGAGAAGCCCAGGGGTCTGAACACTCATCCCCCAACACCACTCTGGACACAGCCCAGGAGAAAGGAAGGAACCACTGTTAAACAGTGCTCCCAGCTCCCAGCTCCTCTAGACGGTCCAGAAGGATGTCATGATTGATGGTATCAAATAGGCTCATTGCCCAGTAAATATCTGAACTGCGTCGTTGCTTTCTCAATGCAAGTTAAATATACTGTGCTTTGAACCAATGCACAGATGTCATTTTGAAAGTTAGGAGTATGCGGCTTTCATGCAGAGAAGTTTCGCATTATATTATGGTCTCTGCCACCTTATTTTCAGATGAAATTAAGCATTAGATTTTTACTTTACTGTCTTGATGGCTTCACTTGAGTTCTTATTTATGGAGATCACAGCTTTCAAGACATGTGTGCTGTTGGGCTTTCCAAATAGCCTAACTTGTAATGTGAAGAACTGGGAACCGTATGGTTTTCATTAGGAGTTGAGAAATGCCCTCGTGCTTCAAGACAATTCGCTTCTTTAAGCTCTTCAACAAAAAAGATAGACAGATAAGATGTGTTATATTCCTTGGATGGCCTCTAGTGAACTATGCATATACGGCCACACACACCCTCACCCTCATTTACTGAACTGCTCTGTGGAACATCAGACATTTTGAGATTGTTAGATGCTTACCAAAAAAGGGAGCATTATTTCCATGAGTTATCTTGATATGGAGTTAGACAGAAAACACAACTGGCTTTGGATGACTCCCAAAATGGGAAAGTTGATATTTAAACAATACTAGTAGGTGCTATAGTAATGAAATGAAGTAAGGTCTAGATTGTGCGTCATCGGCAAGGTTTGTGACTGCCAAAATATGATTACTGATGATAATGTTTGGCTTTATAGATGAGCCAGGAAAAGCATAATGACTTTCATATCCATAATTGAGTTGTTGACCTTGCAGTTAAAGGGAAACAAATACGTATATGCAAAAAGTATCATAGCAAACAATTATTTGGAAACCATTTATGAGAGACATGTGTACTTGAAAGTAAGTCCCACAGGTTTCAGTGGGAGTTATTTCCAGGAGTAATGCAATGTTACTTACTGAAAAACTTGTTGATGTTTAATCCTATAGGTATCATATCACCTCCAGAGAAACATTTCAGAAACATTGTGCTATAACTGAAGTGGTAGTTTGATACTTTCAGTCTAGATCTATGCACTGCTCTGCACAGCAATATGTGATTAACTATAATCCTGCTGCAGTGCAAAGGTGAAGAAGGAAGACTAAGAGAATGAATGAGGGAAATAATCAAAACAGAGGCTGCATATATCTTTTTCTTTAGAGGGGGTCCCACTCCATGCTAGCATTTTAAAGAGCAACACTTATTTGGCAAGACGGAATTTCCACTGGAAAGCTAATGGTTACAATTCAGCTGGTTCAATATCTTTTGTCAATGCACCATGTGTTTCAGAAGCTGAGCCTATGCAGTCAGAAGTAAGCAATACTGAGTTTAATTGAGCTTACTCCTAGAAAACTATGCATAGCTTTTCAGTTTACACCAGTCCTTTCAGTTTATGCTGTGTACCACTGCTCCTTGGTGGGTGGGCGCATTTATATAATCATGGATGAGCAGCAGCCACCTCAGGTCTTTTTAGTCCTTTTTGGCGTACCTTTGCAGGTTGCCATGATGAGTTCTTGCACTTCTGAATTTATCACTACACTGTGCCGCCTCAAGTGTTCAGTGAGTCCAGATCATACAGCTCATTCTGTTCATGATTAAAATGCAAGCATTCTGGCAGACAAGTTTGTGTGGAAAATATTTCCTTGAGATAGAAAGTTTGATAAAATTATCAAAATTGAATAATGTTAAACAATGTTTCCTCTGGTCAATCCTTTTTGTATCCTTTTTAAAAGCGACTTTTAATTTGTAACGATTCTCTGACCATTTAAATGAAAACTAGGCATCTTATTCTACCTTTGACTCTGCATGGCAGAATCTGCAAATATGCATCTGGTTAAAGAATGCAGTTCCCAAAAGGTGTTGCATTCCACACAAGGCGGCACTGTGTGTGTATGTGTCGTCCCCCCCCCCCAACAGACCCATTTATTTCCATTCAGCTTGTGTGGGAGCTGTGCTTTGTAGATTACAACCTGAGCAAGGTGAAGTGGTCCCCTTGGGGAAAAGAGGAAGGAGAGAGGAATGAAATCCCTCCCTGATTCCTTGAAGCCTCTAGGCCTTGTTTTAAATTATGACTGTTTTGCTGGATCAAAGAACAGGTTTGGCAAGCACTTATTTAGAAGAAGAAGAAAAAGAAACACCATACAACTGTGCCAGATTTTCCCGGACGGATTTGCTCTTGAGTACATATTTTTCTAAGGCGCTCTTGCAGTGATTTCAAAAACACTTAAATAATTGGAAACAAAGTAGCAAATTTAAACACAATTAGCGCGGTATATTAAAAGTTTAATCCGCAATTTAGGAAGATACACTCTTCAATCATCTTGCTCCGGCTTTAATTAACTCTGAATTAAGATCCACCCTTTGGACTTGATGTTCCAGGACTTTCATGCTTTCCTGTAATCTGCCACTTAGAGGGACATTTTAGAGCGTCTAGGCCTGCAGTCACTGGCAACTGGTGCCCATGAGCCCCTGGTAGCACAGAAGGGAGGAAACACAGCAATGCCTGTACCATTCGGTAGTGGCTCCTGCCCTATGGAATGCCCTCCCATCAGATGTCAAAAAAATAAACAACTATCTGACTTTTAGAAGACATCTGAAGGCAGCCCTGTTTAGGGAAGTTTTTAATATTTGATAAATTATTGTATTTTAATCTTTTGTTGGAAGCCACACAGAGTGGGCGGGGTATAAATAAATAAATAAATTATTATTATTATTATTATTATTATGGTGGTTGAACATCCACTGCTGCTGCATCCTGCATGTAGTGAACTGAAACCACAGATGCCCCTGAGAAGAAAGGAAGGTTTCAGTTTGCAGCTTATCGTGCATGGCAATAGGAAAGGCAAAAGGTAAAGGACCCCTGGCCAGTTAAGTCCAGTCAAAGGAGATTATGGCGTGCTGTGCTCATCTCGCTTTCAGGCCGAGGGCGCCAGCATTTGTCCACAGACAGCTTTCAAGGTCATGTGGCCAGCATGACTAAACCGCTTCTAGTGAAATGGGACACCATGATGAATGCCAGAGCGCACAGAAATGTCATTTACCTTCCCGCCACAGTGGTGCCTATTTATCTACTTGCATTGGTATGCTTTCAAACTGCTAGGTTGGGAGAGCTGGGACAGAGCAATGGGAGCTCACCCCATTGCATGGAATTGAACTGCTGACCTTCCGATCGGCAAGCCCAAGAGGCTCTGTGGTTTAGACCACACCACCAATACCAGTGGTAGCGGCAGCTCAGAGGCCTTTGCTTAAGCAATGTGCTGAGGGGCATCACAAGTGCTTATCATCCCCATTCCACACACAGCAGCCATTGACAGCCCAAGGGTAGAGCCCCAAAGTCCTGGGCTGCATTCACAGCTATTCACTAAGGATGCCTGTGGCTCATGGCCTTCCAGATGAACTGGGATCTGAATCATTACTGGCAAAACAGTTGACTTTAGTATGCCAAACATTATCACTGTCACCAAAGTTACTACATTATTTCACAGAAAATTATCTATCTATCATCTATCATCTATCCATCTATATCTATCTATCTATCTATATCTATCTATCTATCTATCTATCTATCTATCTATCTATCTATCTATCATCTATCTATCTATCTATCTATCTATCTATCATCTATCTATCTATCTATCTATCTATCTATATCTATCTATCATCTATCATCTATCTATATCTATCTATCATCTATCTATCTATCTCTATCATCTATCATCTATCATCTATCATCTATCATCTATCATCTATCATCTATCATCT